TCAACCACTATTTTGGCTCTTTGTCTCTAACAGGTTGGCCACCCCGGTGTAAATTAAATAAATCCACTGAATACTGCACAAAATCTGCCCGTTTCAGTTATGCAGAGGTTCTACTGCATTCTACTCACGTGAATAGAATCCAAGTAAATCTTCCAAACATCATATATGTAACAGTTTGCATGACTAGCATGTGTGTCAGTGTATCACTGAAGGGGCTAATGCCACCAGCAGAAAAGAATTATTCTGCGGTCTGTAGTGCCTAAATTCAGCCATGAATAAGAATACTCATACAAGAAAAAGTAATTGGAAACATCCATTATTCTAGCTATAATTATGAACTCTGGCATAAGGACATTTCTCTTAATTTTTCTTCCACATATTAAATACCTGCATGCAGTAAAATACTGGAAAAAAATCATAAACCACTTCAGTTAACACAGAAGAGAAAAAACAATTAAGATAATTTAAGTATTTTCTCAAATGAACCAAAGAACTTTCTCAATCTGTGCTATGTATTCAAATGCCACAGTGATGAAAGTATAAAAAGATCAAACAGCTATATACAAAACATTACTTCTAAATACATATGTAAGGATAGTCTTCAAGTTGTCCAAATTATGTAGAAAAGCCATCTTAATTGCCCCAATTTATAATGTTAGAAGACATAGCTCTTAATGTGTGTTTAAACCTGTTTGATTGTGTGTCTCTATGTATAAGCAAGACACAGCTAACTTACTACCCTAAAAGTTAGTCCATTTACATCTCTGTATCTGAACATGACTATACTATTCAACAGGCTACACTGACGTCTTGCGTTACTTCTACAAAGGGCTGTTATAATAATATATCCATCCAAAGATTTCAAAGCACTACGATGACAATCTCTAACTGCCATGGTTGTTTTATGAAAAGCAGTTAGTACAATGATCAAGATTTTAAAAAATAAAGTAACTTCAAAACTTTCTTACCGACTTGTTGTTTGAAAGCACGAATGTAAACCAACTAGGAATGGATTACTGGATGCCTGCTCAAACACATGTTTCTCTGTCTGTACCCAATCAATATCCTGAAACAGAGTATTTGGAAAATCAGAACTACTGTTGGATACCCTGTGGTGGGTAAAGCCAGAAAAGAAACTGTCAACATTTATAATCCCATATATATATATATATAAAGTGTGTGTGTGGCACTGAACAACATTCTTTAAAAAAAGTAAGCCTTTTTTATTTTTTTGCTTCAACTATTTGCCGGAAGTTTTCTGATTATCCAGAGAAAGTGGTACAAAATTTACCAGTTATGAAACTTAAAAAATAATAAAACACATCTCAAGTATAAATGATATATTGGTTCAAAGGGTATCACATTGTAACTATTTGCATCAGCTGGAGCTGCCACGGTTTGCTTTATTTTAGGTATAAGTCAATGAGTTTCACACTATTTCTATGATCCGCTAACTATAAAGATGAAAAACTGAAAGAGGAGATTACAAACTATTAGTATTTTCAAAGTTTAATAGATGCTAGACGAGCATAGCAAAATCAAGACCCAGGGTAACAAAATATCCCAAACCTGTTTACAAATGCAAAACCTAAAGTCTGTGTGCTACAACTTTTCTCAGCATAGGTAGGCATTCCCCGTGCCTTTTACACCCTATATTCCACAATACCCCACCCCTTCATGCACACTCAAAGGAGTGACTGGCAAGAAAGCCTGTGCATTGGTGAGCTTGAATTCCCCATGTTCTAGCTAACCAATACCATATCAGCTCTATAATCAATCTGAAGACAACCAGAACAGATACCCAGGTGCCCTTATATGAGGTCCAGCAGGAAAAAGCTAGCCTGCAACCTCCAGAGAGCAATCCTCGGTGCTATCCTGTCATACACACATCTACACACACACACACACACACATTCAAAATTAGTATAAATAAGCAACGGAATTGTTTCCATGTTTGTTTGTTTTTAAACACAAAGTAAACTGACTGTAAACCAAATATTGTGCTATTTCCACCAGAGTGTGATGCTGGCTCGTAACTACCAAAAAAGGGAAGAAAAGGGGACATTATTTTCATTTCCTAGACTAACAAATCAAAAGTAATTAAAAAAAATTCCTTCAGCTATAATAACTGATGCTTTTGTTACAGGTATTTCTAAAGATATCTTTCAAACTGTATACTAAGATAACTCAGTGAAAAGCTAGTTGTTGAATTATATTTTTTGAAAAGGTATTACTTTTAGACTGACAACATACCCTAATGAGCCTTTATCAGGATATTTCCCTTCAATTCATTTAAATTCTGTTCTAATAAAATCAGGTGAAGCAGATCCAAGATTCAACTCCTCTTGGGTGACAATATCCTTTGAATATAATCCTACTACTACAACACTAACAGTCAGTGGCAAAGCATCAGCAAGTTTGATGCATTATAAATTCACTGATATTTGAAAGAGGAAAAGATTGCTAAGTAATGTTGTTTTTTTTAAACCACTGAAACACAATCAAATGAAATTTCCATCACTTTAGATTGTGCGTATTCATAAAATTCCATTTCTTCTAGATGCTAGTTTGTGGCAAACAGCAGCAATTAGATCAATTTTCTATGTTATGATGTGCAAGAGTCACAAATTCAAAGTAATTCAATGTAAGAATTTTTTCAACTGTTTCTTGTTCTCAAAGGCAACTACAAAGCTGACTAAAAATTTCTCCTCATTTTTCATTGGCACTGAAAGAAATAACTAGAGAAACAAAAAATGTAATCGTGGAGCAACTTTTTATTAATCCCTTTTTCTGGTAACGAAAAGTGAGATTGAACACTTAAGTGAGCAAATCTAAAGATAAAAAACAAATCAAAGGCCTGATCTACAGTACAGCAGAAGGTCAAATTAAGATCTGCAACTCCAGCTACATTAATTACATAGCTGGAACCGAAAGAAATTGCGTTTCTGCACCATCCACACAGCGGGAGGCCAACAGGAGCAAATGCTCCTGTTGCATTCCCTAACTCCTCACAAAAGGAGGAATACAGGATGCTGGCCAGAGCTTCCCTCAGCATTTGATTTATGGCTCTATACTAAACCTGCTAAATCAAACACCAGAAGATTGACCTTTGGCATGTCAATCTTCTGTGTAGTGTAGATGTGGCCTCAGTAGCCTTACTCTTCTACTAACAGTCTCTGGAAAAGTAACAAGTAGAGCAACTAGTGAAATTGGTTATCACCACCATCACCAGATTTTTTTTTTAAATTCTTTGCAACAAAATATTGCCTTTTGTAAACTATTCTTCCAGTAGCCATGGAATTAAGGGAGACTGCCAACTTGGAAATCATATGTGTGTCTGAAAACCGTATAGTTATCAGAATCAGGAGTTAAGACTCCTAATATAGAAAGAAGATACTGAAAACTCTTATTTTTCGAGTCCATTTACTTGATGAATGTGGTATCAATGTCATGATTTCCTCTCAATCTGTCACTCCCTAACCATACCAATTTACACCATATTTTTAAAGCAATTTTAAAAAACAGGACATACTCTTGGTCCACAGAGACTGGATTTTTTTTATTTAAAAATATCATATTGATGTAGCCCCTTTAAAAGCCAGTGGTTTACCAAATGTGAAAAATTATCTACAGAATTATATTACATGTATGTCTCTTCTGTGTGTGTACAAACCCAAAATGCACTTGCAGAGTATTTCTATAAAATTAACAACATTTTATAATGTAAATTCAGCTCCTGTTACGAAGTGCAGCATTCATTGATTAGTTTTTTCCGACATCCTACAAGCTGAAATTGTGAGGGAGGCAACATCTTGCTATCCTTTCAGTCGCAGATGAACAAACTATCAATACCCAATGCTCTATTTAGCCAGTAAACAAAAGGCTAGACTTTCAACAAAATCCAGGTTTATTAGAAAAATTTCATTTGTGTTTTTCTAAGACCGCTAGCCAATTTGTCTGTCATAGTTACTTCAGAGGCTGTGAACATTTCTCCCAGAACCAATCTGTGCCATACTTAACGTTGATGCCACCAACTTACTAGTCAGTCAAGCTTCCACTACATGACAAATATTTGTTCAAAATTACAGGTTACATTCTTAGTACATTTGCCTTCATTAACTAGTTAAAACTAATGCATTAATACATTAACCATGATTCAATTCAGTATTTTAAATTTGAACAACAGACTTTTACCTCATCATCATGGACCAATTCTTTTTTCACTACTTTCATGGCATAAATTTGATCATTCTTTTTTAACCGTACTAAAAGAACTTTGGCATAACTTCCACGTCCAATAACTCTGATTAAGTCAAAGTCTTGTAGTCCAAGCCCCTGAGAGATCTTAATTCCATCCATTCCATCAATAACTGGCTTGATATCCTGTATAAAGACAAACAGATACATATTCATAAACAGTTGAAGACTTCTTAACTAAGAATTGTTAGAGAAAACAAGTTAAACTTCTAACAGACAGGATTTGCTCAGTGTGTATGCTACTCAAACACAGATTGGTCAAACAGTACAAGAATGACACAGCACTAAAACAACATTCTTTTAAAAAAACTTCCTTGGCATATTTTTTCTACTTGGTATTAAGTGTGCCAAAGGAAATAGTTTGCTAAATATTTAATCTCAAGTAACATGTTTTTAATAATAGATGCAGAATGTTTCCATATGCTGCAGGTGAACTGCTATAAGACCATACATATCTACACAATTATCCTCAGCAGCTCACCACACTATGCAAAGCACAACTATATTAAAGTGCTATTTTGGCCAGTGGTGGCTGGTTTGCCAATTCCTGACATACTGATTGTTCAAAACCACCATCCATGGTGCATGTGACAAGGCTAGCATGTGACAGTCAACAGGTTGCGGCAGATCTATCATCTAAGGCAGCGTTTCTTAAACTGTGTTCTGCGGCACACCGGTGTGCTGCGAGGCAGTCGGAGGTGTGCCGCGGAGATATAGTAACCATATGCCCCTTTTTTCCCCAGGACAGTCCTAGATTTAAGGACACCCAGCGCTAGCGTGGCGCAGCAGCAACTCCCTGCCTCCACCCAGCACGTAAGTGGCTCCCTCGGTGCTTTGCTTGAGCAGCCAGGGCTGCTGCTGGTGGCGTGCAGCGTCCAGAGCTCCCATGCAGCACGTGCTGCTGTCCGGCAAGGCCCTCCCAACACTGCGTGGCCCTTTCTTCCTGCTGCAGGACTGCCTCTGCCATGCACCACCATCCCGGCCTCCTCCATCCACAGGCAGCCACCACCGCTGCTGGAGGGGGAGGGGCAGTGGCTGGAGTGGTGAGCTGCTCCTGGGAGCTGCCACCAGCATCCTGGCAGAGACTGCGCAGAGCTCGGCCGGAGTGCTGCAGAGCGGGATATGTTCAGGCTCTGCCGGTGTGCTCTGTGCACTGCCCTTTCTCCCCCACCTCTTCCCACTCCGCTGGGGGAGCAGCAGTGCAGTGACCCGCTCGCTCTGCAAGCCAGATCTGGGATGGTGGGGATTTCTTCCCTCTCCCTCCGTGCTCCTCCTAATGGGAACCAAAGCTCGTGCGGGGACTGGAATGCGGCACTAACATTAGCACCGCGGGCGGCCCAGCTCCAGGCCAGGCAAGCGGTGCTGCCTTGGAAGCAGCTGGGGCCAGGCCTGTGGGGACTTCTGGGGCCCGACCACAGACTCGAGCCCCGCTAACTGGAAGGCAAAAGGTGGGGGAGGGGCTTGGAGAGAACTAGGGGAAAGGAGGGTGGGAGAGGACCGGGCTTGTGCTGAGCGGAGAGGGGCAGAGCAGGAGAAGAAAGGGGAAGGCACCAAGAGACAGGGTGGAGGAGAGACAAATGCCAGGGGGCCAAGTGGAGACAAAGAGGAAAAGGGCAGGAGGAGGGACGGGAAGTGTCAATGAGGGTGGAGGGGACAGGGTGATGCCAGGAGAGTAGAGGGGAAGGGCACTGAGAGGAACTGGGGTAGAGGGTGGTGAGGGGATGGGAATCAGAGAGGAAGAGGGCCAGGGGCAATGAGGAAAGGAGGAAGCACCAGGAGGGTGCAGGGATAAGGGAAGGTGCAGGTGACAGGGGATTCTGGGGGTGAAGCAGAAGGGCAGACACTTGCAGGGGACAGACCAGCACCAGAGGAGAGAGGAGTAGGAGGATGGTGGGAAAGGAGTAGGAGGATGGTGGGAAAAGTTCTTAGAGGGGGTTATTACTTTTACTTCTGGTCATGTGTCCATCTTGACCCCAAGAGTCAGGGTAATAGTAAACAGAGGTCAGGGGGTATAGGTAATGTGTCCCTAATTTTGGTTCAGAAAATATGGTCACCATATGTAGAGAGAACAGAGTTCAAATGGCTGTCCTTAAAAGGGGCAAGCTTTTTGCTTTGTTTTGCTCAACAAACATCCTTGGTGTTCCCCATAAAAAAAATATTGTTTGGTGTTCCTCGGTCTTAAAAAGTTTAAGAAACACTAATCTAAGATTACTACATGCACTGTTTTTACTGGGGTAATTTGTTTTTAACATGTAAACCAGTTTCTACTTCTGTACATTGTGCCTGCAGAACCCCCTGCCTTGGAAACAGACTTTATACAGATCAAAGCAAAATTTTACATTAATGATCTAGAAGCAACAGGGTCTGTATTACATGACCAAATAATGATCAAATCAGAGTCCCCAAATGTAGTTTTTGTCTTGAAAAAATGGCCAGATTTAGGTCAGGATTGTTTAACACATTACAGCTAAACAGAATCACATTTTCTAGTCAAGACACTCCCTCAGAGATTTAAATTCCAAGGTGATAAAGAATTCAAAGTCAGATAGAGAGACATTTAAAATAAAAATTCTACAGCCACAATTCTTTCCTGATGATAAATCAGAACAAGGGAAATGGTATGCAACTCTCTGCTGTTATTCATACAATGGAAAAAAGTTGTGTATCACTGATCACTCATTTTAAAGCATCAAGAACTTCCACTTTAGGTTTTCTGTCCACCTATATAGGCTGTAGAAATTCCAGTGATGTAGAAAAAAATTATTTTTTTCAAAAATACTCTCTCAGGATTTTGCTTAAAGCTACGTGGTATCCATCCAACATTAAAACTCTTGTATTCTCTACTCTGGTAAAGGAAGGACTTAGACCAAGCAAAGAGGGTCTGATTTCAGTTCTTAGATTGTTAGCCCTTCTAGGTTAGGGTTCTGTGTGTGAGTGAACAATGTCTTGCACATTCTGAGAAATACGGAGATACAAATTAATAATGAAGATCTAAACAGAAAGATACAGAAACCTTACTATGCTAACTGAGTACATCTGCCTTGGCATGAGGTTGAGCAGTTCCAGGATGTGTCAAACACACTGTAGTGAAATTGAAGTTGCTGGTCAGGACTAGGGATATGAACGAGTAATCGGTTAACTGGTTTCTCAGTAAGCATCATCCTTACCACATGATGCCTACCAGGTACTGGTTAATTGGTGTCAGAGAGCAGACCCTCATCCATGGCCTGCCACAGGCACAGAGCTGCCCCAGCAGGGATGAGAGCTGGCAGCAACCCCAACCCTGGGGCCACCAGCGGTGGCAGCAGGGCCAGCAACCTCCTGTCACCACTGATGGCAGCAGCAGCCCCGGGGGTGGGGTTGGGAGCCCCCTGCCATCAGCAGCCCCTGGACAGAGGATGGATTCTGCTTAGTTGGTTAATCAGTTAAACCTTAGGTTAACCTAATGTTTAACTGGTTAACCGATTAATCAGGATTTTACATCCCTAGTCAGCACCGTGCTGATTTCCAAGAGTGAACATTTGTGGAAGAGATTTCAAAATGGAAAATGTGTTATTTTGATAGAAGTTTTATTTGTGGGGAGATTTCTTGGCATTAAATAAAATCATATAATTTTGCTGACTGGGAATGAGAGATTTAGAGATACTCTAAATAAAAGTCACAAATAGTTAAAGTACAATATATCCTCCAGTTACACCCCATTACCCATGTTTACAATGCTTCAATACATTATGGTCTATTTTTATTTGACCTCATACCACTGTCCTTGTAGGCAGATCAATGTTCTGCCAATCTATGGGAAGTGTTTATGTAAGAAGTCTTGATCTAGGATTGACTGTTATTAAAGAGAGATTGCATTGAGCTTAAAGTGTCTAGTCAGCAAGGTTCCAGCATACCACATTTGTGTCTGTGCAGGGTATGTTATTTAAATTAGTATCACTCATCTAAGAAGGTAGAAAAATGCAAACAGCTCTGACTAGGGCAGGAGTAACTTGTCTTCATCTGCAACTGTACAGTACCTAGCACAAGAGGACTTCGCTTTCTATTAGTGGGCCTTTTGGTATTACTGCAATATAACTCAATAACCATTTTAGACAGTTTAATAAAAATTGTATGTAGTCATTCCAATGTACCCCTTTTAGTGCATTTGTTTAAGATGATTCTTAAAAAACATACATGATCAAAAGCAAAGCAATTTATACACTAACCAGAGCCATTCATGTGTGAATTACTGGCAGTGGCAATGATTGTAGTAGAAAATGGATGGTGCAGTTTTGTTGAAAAGGGGAAACCAAGCTGGTAGTGCTTTGTAAAGTGCTTCATATTTAATTTCAAATATTCCAGAAGTATTTTTATAACTATTGTTCTGAAGCCCTTTAGGCGTATTTTAAGTGTACTGGGATTTGTCAAAGTGCACTAAGGGAATAACATTCTTAGTATGCAGAGATGCTGTTAAACCCTGTACAAAAGAACCAAAAAATAAAACCTACGCATATGTTAGTCTACTTTTATTTCTTCAGGGCCCTTTATAATTGAGTGTGTATTATGTATCTGCAAAATTTCAGAGCAAACTGGATAGTTAATGACTTACATTGTCAGTGAGACTGGACAAAGATTCATAATTTTAATCTGTGGAGGGGTGGCCTGAGGGTGATAAGCAGTGTACATGCATTGGAGAGGAGAACAGCCAAGTACTGAAATAATGTTAAATCATTGTAAGCTGCTAATTCGGAGGCAAAGACCAATAAATTACAACAATTATGATTTATGGAGAGTTGCACTGTGAACAGGAAAAAAAAGTCTTTCACACTTTGTGAATGAAACAAAAATAGAAAACAAGAAGTCTGAGAAACACATTAAAAATCTCTAAAATACTTTATTTTCGGGGCAGGAGCCCTACATTTCCTTTACTGATAAAAGAAGATCTACAGCAAGATGAAACTCATGGCAAATATAATTCTCTAGTCTAGAAGTATATATGTGCAGAAAACAAATATAAATTTTAAAAATAATTTAAAAAATACCTCAGAGTCATCTTTAATGTTGTCATGTTTCCGAGTTGAAGGAATGTAAGGTACTGCAAGACAAAGTGGATACACAGAACAAGTAGATTGTTAAAGCTATCCCACACATAGTAGAAAAATTATTAAATCAAAGATAGTCTAGTAGTCATGGGGTAGCAGTTTGTTTTGCCCACTGGACATTCAGGTAGGATTCTTCTACTTAGTTGTCAATCTCGATAGCACATAGAAAGGGTGCTGGAATAGGGGAAAAGCAGCATTTTGGTACTTGACAGTGACTATTTTAACTTGCTTAATCATATTTCACAGGCCCAGAATGTTTTATCCAGACCTCTTCAGTAAAAAGACTGTGGATAGAAGATGGAGCCTAGAGATTGGAGTGGTAAAGACATCTTAATGTACAAACAGTCAGATGCCCCCTAACTTAAAGGCTAAAAAGCTCACTTTCTGTAGCATACTCAGCTTCTTTTATTCCTTGCAAATGTTACCACATTGACTAACAATGTATATTTACAACAAATTTACAAGTTATAGGCTCTAAAATTTGTGAAAACCCACCTCAAACAATCCCCAAACACCATAGCTTTAAACATTTCTACAGTACCTTTCATTGTGCTACCTTAGAATGCTCTACAAGCAATGACTCATCCAGCCTTACCAACCCCCATTTTACATATGGACAACTGAGGCAGAGGGCATGGCAAGAATGTAGGATTTTGGGGACAAGGACTCTTGGCATTACATATGTATGTATTACCTAGCAAAATGGAGTCCTGATCCATGAAGCACTACTGTAATACTGATTATTAGAAAGACAAGGTAGGGAAGATTATATCTTTTATTGGACCAATTTACACTTCAGAGAAGTAGATTGCATCATGGTAACTGCCACTCAAATACCTGAAGTGAACCTGGCTCAATACAGAAAAAAAAATCACTGACTGCACTTATCTACTTGCCACCTATCACACTACACTGTAACCCACACAGGTGTCATCAAATAACTATAACTCATATTTGATGGGGACGACTTCCTGAAAGAAATTTTTCCTGAATCCCTCTTCTAGCTTTCAAACAACTCCCTAATGTTGCCAATATCATCCCCCCCAGACGCCAAGGGCCTGTGCTTGCTTTCTTTCTCTCTCTCTTCCCCCTCCCTACCAAGGGCCTACATTCTCTCCCTCTCTCCTCCACTCAGCCACCAGGAGCGAAGGTGGGGGGGGGGGGGCCTGAGGGCAGGGGGGTTATTTGTCTTGGGGTACACAAAACAAATATGACTCCTGAAAGGGGCACAGTATTCTAGAAGAGTTAAAAGCTTTAAAGCATGCACAATACTGCTGGTTCTCATAAGTGCGCACAGCACAGCCAGTCCTTACTGGAGCAGTGCACCCCTTTACCTCTGAATTAAACAAATCATAATACTCTCACATGAACTCTCGCAGAAAAATGATGAAAGATCCAGCAGGTGATAGTGTGCTGGGTGCTATCTTGGGGGGAAACCACCACCTCTACTGCTAAGAGCACTGTGGATACTTTGGAGGGCAACCGAGTCCGCAGAAAGAGAACCTATCCTGGAGGGTGAATTAATAGATGAAGAGTGACGTTAGAGGAGGATGTGGGGCTCCCAGATGGATTGCCCAGTTAAGCAAGCAGTCAGGAATAATTCTCCACTCCTGAGGTAAATACCCATTCTCAGTAGCTTCTCCACGGGGAGCTGGAAGCAGATGAGATGCAGAGTGAGTGGCTCTGGCTTGGGGAGTGCAGGGGTGAGTATAAGGCAGAGAAAAGTAGAAGGCTGGCTGTTTTTCTGTGAACTGTGCATAGTCTTTTGTAGCTAGTCATTATGTCCAGGCAGATTGTCGATGCACACCAAGATCACAATTGATTCCTGCAGAGAGAGGTTCTGGAAACTTTGCCTGAGACACTTGTTAATTTTCTCTATGATGTTCCAAGGCAGCGCAGCTGTGTTTCTTCCTCCATTGTAGGACAGTCGCCCATATCATTCTTCAATCAGTAGTGCAGGGACCACCATGGCACAGATGGGCTGCATACAGAGCAGGGCAAAAACCACTAGCATACAGAAGTTGAGCCCTTCTTGCCGTCAGTAGAGATGTCTGTTACAGTGATACTTGTCTATAGAGAAGTGTGGCATTATTAAAAAGGTTTCCCTGCAAATGTGCTCTTTTGCTCCTACGCACACCCTAACCCCGTCCTTCCCGCACACTCACCATGTTTACAGTGTCTGCAGAGATGTGTGCATCTTGCAAGGATCAGAGGGAAAATGGCTGTGATTACTTTGGCCCAGGTACAGGCTGTTCAAGCATTTCCTTGAATGGACATGTTACATGGGATGCAGCAGGGAAGCAATCCGAAAAGAGGTAGATTTCAGTGCTCCTTCATTGTCAAAGTGCTTCCTCAAACACTCCCTGATGTGAATAGCTATCATCTTGTGGTCTGGAAAGAAAGTCCCCACCTGCAGCTTTTTGTACAGGCCAGTGTTCCTGAAGATGCATACGTCATGCACCTTTTCAGGTCACCCCACACTGATGTCTGTGAAATGCCCATGGTAATCTATAACTGAAGTAACGTTGAGAAGCATCCCTTCCTACTGATATACTCTGTAGCAAGGTGACCTGGTGCTAAAATTGGAACATGTGTGCGTGCCATTTATTGCCTCCTGTCACGGAGCAGACTCACCACCATGGTGCCTCCAGCCGGTAGCCCCGGGAATTAGCTTGTCAACTCACTGGACGCCTCCCTCTAGCTGGTGTCTCCCTGTGTTCTCGCTTGCCTCTCTAGTCCAGATCTGCATCATTCTTGGACCACGGTGTCCTCTTCAAGACACTGCCCTCTGGAAGTGCCCACTCCAGTGTCTCTGAGCCCCCTTCTGGGGTTAGGTGTTTATCCAGCTTTGCACTCCAGGGTCCTCCCCTCCCAAGGGGCACCCAGTTCTCCTCCCAGGGAACACCCAGTTCCCCTCTACCCACCTTGCCTCAGTGATCCACTACCAGCCTTCAACTAGCAAACTGCAGTCTGTAATGGACATTCATCACTGGCAAAGGGGTGTGAACCTGCTGCCTTTGCCTACCATGGCTGCCCCTCTGCAGCCTTAGTAGCCTTAAGCCTTGCTTTAGGCCCTGCAACCTGGGAGTTTGCTTGGCCAGAGCTTCCTCAGCCCTGCCTTCCTTTCCCAGCACTGCTCTGCTTCCCTGGCACCCAAGTAACTTCTGCTCCCTCTCCAGAGCAGCAGTAAGTTCCCCTCTCCCTCCAGGAGCCCTTCTTTATATAGCCCCCAGCTCGGTCCTCATTAGCAACAACTGACTCAGCTGTGGCTTCACTCTCAGCCCTCACTGAGGGCCAGCTTTTTGCCCTTAAAGGGCCTGGGCAGGGCAAGCACCCTGTCACACCTCCCCACACACAAAGTTAGCAAAGCCCATCTCTGGAAAGCCAGCCACTATGTAATGTACATTTTCCAGAGTTATGGTCCTCCATAGCAGAATGTGATTTATTGGCTTTGCACACTTTGAATAGTGCAGCCCCAGTGGTAAACCTGCCCACTCCAAACTGACTTGCAGCACACAAGTATCAGTCAGGTGTTGCCAGCTTTTAGACAAATTGCCATATACTTCTCTGCCAAGAGGCCAGCTCTCATTCTGATGTTCTGGTGTTGCAGTTCGGGGACCAACTCCAGGAAGGTTGCTTTACACATCCTAAAGTTCTATAGCCACCACTCTTTATCCATACCTTCATGACAGTGCAATCCCACTACTCAATATTAGTTTCCCTAGCCCAAAAGTGACAGTCTACCCTTCACAATTGTTCTGTAACTGCCCAATGCAATGATAGATTGCTGCTGTCCATCTCATGCAGAATGTTGTCACCTTGCAAGTCTTCTTCCTCTGTCAGTAACTTCAAAAGCAACTGCTGCAATGCATGATATCCTCATGGCACTGAACAGAGCATAGGAAAGAAGTGTGGGATCCATGCTTTCTCACTGCAGATGCTGGAGTGCACAGCAAAGAATGAGAGTTGGAAAAATGGCATTAAAGGATGCTGAAAACCTCTAGAGGGTTGGGAAACAAAGCAGTGCCTGATGGGGTGTTTTGCACAGTGCTAAGACATACTGCACACCATTCCACGTTCCCGCAGTGCCTAGCAACAGATGGTGTCACCTGTCACTCTGGAATACATATCCACAGTGCATTACTCACGCTGTCAATAAGAGAGTAAAAATATGGTCATGATATGTCGACAAAGGGAGCAAAAGTAAACATGCTTTGGCAACTTTTTCTTTGGTAACTTCTGTGTTAACATTAGGTTTGGTGATGAAACTTTGTAATGCAGACACACCCTCAGATTTCCTTCCCCTGTTTTGAAGAGCTTTGTGTAGTTCAAAAGCTTGTACTTTTCACAAATATCATCTGATCTAATAAAAGATATTACCTCATATACCTTGTGCCTCTCATTCTGGAAACATGGTTACCACAAGGCAAACATACTAATAATTCCTAATAATGGTAACACAGAGTCCCTATTATGACTATATTTACATCCAAAGACATAAGTATATCAATTCCACATTAGTGGGAAAAATACCTACTTCCATCTGTTTCTTCTGAGGGGAGGTCAACTTCATCATTTTTATCATCTAATTGAGGTTCCTGGGAAGGCATGACCGAATCCTGGTAAAATAATAATTAATAGAAAAAAAAATCCATCAGTTACTGTAATGTGTTTGATACCATCTGAATACCTCTTCCTAAATGTTTAAACAAATCTGTTTTGTTATATAAATGATATAGCTAGAAATTTACAATTTAAGCTTCCAGGACAGGTGGTAAGGTATTACAAATATTTATCAGAACATGATGGTTTGTAATGAATTATAAAGAGCCTATATCAAAAGTCTATCTGTCCTCTGCACAGTGCAGTGTAAACATGGTCATGTTTAATAATTCTCTTTTAAAACTAAATCCAGCATATTTTACTATAAAATATACACAGAATTAAAGATTTCTGAGGCTGTATCATGTGAAACTACAGCCATTCCTTATTTAAAAAAAATCCATGTTTAGTGTGAATTTATATAAACAGTATAAAGCATCAGCATATTCCCTGCGTCAGCTAAAATAAGAAATAACTCCCACTGTCCCAAAAGGTCCTGCATTCATTAATAAAGGTAATTAAATTCAGTTTTCGTTTTGTAGCGAATTATCAACCATTCACATGTAGAACTCAGAGCACAAATAACTACAAGAATATTTAGCAAATGGTCCGGTAGCAGTTTATAGACTAACAAAACGTAGATAGTATAATGAGCTTTCTTGGGCACAGCCCACTTCTTCGGATGACCGGAGTTATGATTAGAGGATAACTTTCTAAGTAGTAACTACATTCTGAATGGTATCCTTCCTGCCTTATCCATCCACTGACTTTGATCTTTATCTACTCAGGTTTAGCACTCTTTCTCCTGATACTTTATGCATAGAGGTAGGGGGGTGGGAGACAGAACATCTTTCTCCTCCCCAGCCCCTGCCTCCCACCTTCCCTTCTACTATTTATTTCGAGTTTCCTTATCCTCTAATCATAACTCCGGTCATCTGAAGAAGTGGGCTGTGCCCACGAAAGCTCATGATACCATCTACATGTTTTGTTAGTCTATAAAGTGCTACCGGACCATTTGCTTGCTGTTTTTTTTTCCTGTAACAGACTAACTTGGCTACCCCCTGAAGCTACAAGAATATTTCCTGCTCATGTAGAGATTGTATCTGAGTCAATCAACAAGATGGCAAAGAATCCAGTAATCAAGGCAAGGTATGTGAAGAGAGTTTCAGTAGTTGTAATGGTGAGGAAAAGATGGATTTGATTTATATTAAAGAGGAAGAAATCAACCTAACTAGTAAGATACTGAATACAGAACAGGTTTGGAAAAGGTTGTGGGTTGGAAGGAAAGGACAAAAAAGTTTCAAGTCTATGACTGGAAGAATGCCAGAGTTCTCAATGCAGGGATCATGAAGGGAAATGGACAGATCAGGAGAAGGTGAGTATTTAATAGATTGAGATTAAAATGGTAGCAGGACCCAGAGACACTCAGGATTTTGAGGGACAAATGGAGATGTAAAAACAAGAGAGAGCTTCTTCATTCTGCAGAACTTCCCATGGGTC